TGAAATGATATTAGCACATTTTAAAAACACCGACCGAAAAGCGGACCATTAAAACACTTGAAAAGGCATGATTCCTCTAGATAATGTAAATTCACCCTTTTTGTGCGATTGTGTAAAGAAGGGGAAGGGAGTGCGTTGATTACAGGGGCGGCGGGTCGACGGCCAAAATTGGGGGGGGGGCACCAACAAAAAGGGCACTTTCTGGAGAAAAAAGGGACACCTACAAAGGGAAAATATACAGTCTTTTAGTCATTGGTATATACCACTATATTGTGAAAAGGGGAAGGGGGCGTTGATTGCAGGGGCGGCGGAGCAACTTCCAGAGTGGGGGAGGAGAGAGGGGGGGGGGGGTGGGCACCAACAAAAAAGGGCACCTACAAAGGGAAATCTCAAATCAAAAATATACATAGTATTGTACATAGTCATTGGTATATACATACAGTTCACTAAACCATACATTGTGATTACATTATCAGGGATGATTTGAATATTCGTTTATCTTTATACACCACAAAAGATATTGCTTAGCATCGATCATACTTTGCAGTTGGGTGTGATGGTCTGAAAATTACATCTTATATCTTGATAAGCACATCATTTTTCTCATACAGAAAGATTGAAAAGACCTTTGATAAGTAATATAATAGTATCATCCATAAATGCGAGCGAGCTTTAGGGGAAATTGCTCTTAGTCGGTTAAAATTAGGGGCGCGTTTTATGATGAGAGGAAACGTGGACACTTATCGAAAGTGATAAGATAGTTCTTAGAAAAGAAAAGGAGCACGTTTTAAAATACAGAGGGTAAATATAAGAGATGAAAATCGGGCTCTTCTTACACCTACAAAAAGAGGCACTCACCAGGGATGAAAAGGGCACTTATGAGAATGGGAAATCGGCATTTTTCGACGGAAAAGGGACACCCATAAGATTTTGATAGGGGCATTTATAAGAGGTGAAAAGGGGCTTTTATGAAAAGGGGATATATCCCTTATTAGAAAGGAAAAGGGGCACGTATCATTGTTAAAAGGGAAATTATCAGTGGTGAAAAGGGGCACGTATCATTGTTAAAAGGGAAATTATCAGTGGTGAAAAAGGGCATGTATCATTGTTAAAAGGGAAATTATCAGTGGTGAAAAAGGGCACGTATCATTGTTAAAAGGGAAATTATCAGTGGTGAAAAAGGGCATGTATCATTGTTAAAAGGGAAATTATCAGTGGTGAAAAGGGGCACTTATCATTGTTAAAAGGGAAATTATCAGTGGTGAAAAAGGGCATGTATCATTGTTAAAAGGGAAATTATCAGTGGTGAAAAGGGGCACTTATCATTGTTAAAAGGGAAATTATCAGTGGTGAAAAGGGGCACTTATCATTGTTAAAAGGGAAATTATCAGTGGTGAAAAAGGGCATGTATCATTGTTAAAAGGGAAATTATCAGTGGTGAAAAGGGGCACTTATCGCACCTAAAAAGGGGCACTGACCAGATATGAAAAGGGTCACTTATTAGAGGTGAAAAGGGACACTCATCAGATTACCCAATTACTGAAACAAACGCTACGCCACCCGCTAGGGCAATAAAGAATATTAAAGGTCTAAGGTTTTTTCTTTTCCGGATGTGTTTAGCATCTTTAGCGCCATCTCCAACAATTCAACGGTAATCTCGAAGGAAGACCGTTCCACGAGATTTTCATCCGGGCCCCAGTAATTTAACTTTAGTTTTTGAAATGGGGGGGGGGGGGGGTAACAGTTATATAATTCATACGATATACGATCATACTATATTTTGCTCAACAGACGCTTGACAAATTGAGATCGACTTTTTAATGGGCGATTAATTTTAGGACGATTACAACCTCAATCAGCGTGTCTGTCAAAGGTTGCTGGGAATTCCCAGTACCTAAAAATAGGTTGACAAACTAAATATTACATAGATCCTACATGTATATAGTTTTGATCAGTATACAAGTACATCGTTAAGCCAAAGAGTATACACGTTTTCTAATTTGACATAACACCAAGACCGATACGTAGTGACGGAAAAAGAGGTGAGTTAACTAAAATGTCTGTGTCGTTTCCAAATTAAGAATATGGTAACATTAGTCAGTTTATATTTATATCAGACAATATTTAATATTACTATAGGCAAACACTTTTGAGGCTTTGTTTTTATCTGGTTGATAAAATCATCGTTTTCCTCAGAATAGGTTTAACTATTAGTAGAGAGCAATTGAGCTAAGACCAGCTTTGTAAACCATGAAGAAACAGGCTGCAAAAATAAAACTTAAAAAAAGAAAGCTTTGAAACCCAACAATAAGAGTTTAAAGATAAAGTTGAGTTCTGGTCATGTGATTGTATTGTGAAAGAAACGTTGTGAAATCGATCCCCCCCCCCTAAAAAAAAAAAAAATTGATCATAATAATATTTGTATTAGTGTGTACTGCAGGGTTCTGGAGATATTAAAATGATAAGAGATTTGGCCCAATCCTGGTAAAAGTAACAAGCACTGTACACAGAAAGATGTAGTCAGGACTACACAAACATGTGGCATAAAAATGAGGCCCATATTTTTAAGCTGACACATGTCATATTTAGAATCTAAAGGCATTTGAAGAGCCATGCTTGGCAGGGAACATTTTTATCTCTGATGTTCTTCCACACTTGCAAATAACAATGAAAACGCTCACAAATTATTCGTTACCTCTCCACAGAACTCAACTTTACCTTAAAGTCGTTGATCGTGAACCCGGAAGTAACGTTTTGTCGCGTTAGAAAACTTGGGATCATTTTGATATCGTTCACAAGTAGAACTTCTCAGTGTTTGCTTGTCTTGGGGCGCGGGGGGGGGGGGGGGGGGGGGGGAGGATGGGGAGGAGGGGGGATGTGACGATTTTGGTATGTTATTGTTATTGTTATTTAAATTACAAATTTGTCATGAGTTATTATTCTGACATGTTAATAAGATATGAATGCGACTATTAAATATTTCAGGTGACTATGCGATTTTAACTTAGCTTACATATCATCTTGTGATTCTGCTAGAGCAGAGCAATTTACCAAATTTCCTCTCTACAAACATGATTAATTTTAAAAAGTAGCATATCCAGTGTAAATAAAATGTATATAGTACTACTTTTGATACTTCATCAGCTTCAAGAATCAATACGAAATGTTACCTACAACGTTTTAGAGTTGTCCAAAGCCTAAACTCCATGTTAAGAATAAGGTATGTTTTTTGCACCATATCTGACGGTAGATCACGGATCATATTTTTTTCGATCAAATTTCATGACTTTGTAATACTTGGTGTCATGTACTCTAAATTAAAGGTACACATGCAGATGAATACTCGAGACAGATAAATAGATTACGTTTGATACTTTTTGGTAAAAGATTCCAAATCAAGTTGATTTCGCCAAGCGCATGGGCAGCTATACAATTGTGACTCATGGTATGACATCATCATCAATATATGATACTTTCTGTAAGATTAGCATGACTTGTTGCGATACATGCAATAATAATAAATAATAATACATAAGATTTACAAGGCGCAAAATCCACTTGACAGTCAAATGCTCAAGGCGCAGCTTGTGTAAAAGATGAAATACATACATGATACATTTATACAAAGTGCGATAGGAAAGGTACAGACATGAAAGGTTATGGTAATCAATTATAAGCTAAATTAAAAAGATATTTCTTAAGATTGTTTTTTAACACTTCAGCAGAACTGCTATTCTTAATCCATTGAGGGAGAGTATTCCATAATGAAGGCCCAGCATGAGCAAAGGTTCGCTCCCCATCTAGAGGTGTTGTGGTCTATTCTAGTGGATAGGTTGCTTGATTGTGAATAACATGGTTCGCGGTTCGAGTCTCACCACTGAATTAATGTCCTCCCACAAAATAGTACTCTACATTGGTCACTCTCCACCCATACCAGGTGTATAGTGTCTGAATGGGTACCGATATAGGAAGAAATTCCGTGGATGATTATGGGTATATTGGCTAAAGCGGTAGTAGTAATATGATTGCAGGGCCCTCGGGGAGATCAGTATGTGTACTGATGTAGATCTGGTTAGAAAAATGCATCATCATTAGTATGATGATTATTGATATTGTTATTATAATTATTATTATTATCATCATTACAATAATTCGTATTATAAATATAATTGTCATCATCATTATTATTATTATGTTTATTATTATGATTATCATTTTTCTCCATTGGAATGTACATTGACTGAAGAGCGACCAAGAAAACAGTTAGTTTTTTAATTCATTTTTTATTAATACATTATATTCATGAATAACTTATATATTTTTTTTTATCAATATCGGAAAATCAAACTGGGTACTCGTTATATTCTCTAGAAGAAAGGCATGAGGAATATGACAAACACTCATCTTTAAGGCCATTTAGAGTGACTCGGTAACATTGTTGAAGGTTGATGAATTTTTATTCACATAAAATGTAATTAAATTGTAATAACATAATTGGGAGAATTAAGGAATCGATCAGATCAGTTTTTCCCAATTTGTATCATTATCTTTATCTTGGATTATCTTTAATTGTACATCTAGCGTTGGAGTCCTACTTTAGCACCACTATCTCTCATCTGAACAATGTTACCAAGTCCCTTAACAAAAAAATGTTTAGCGTCCCCGCTCGCTTCCTTTTTTGGGGGGCGCCTCCTTTTTAAAGAAAAGAACACCTGAAAAACACAATGCTAAAATGATCTATTTTTGATTTTTTTTTTTTAAATAAAAGAAATGCCGGCGGCCATCTTGATAAATAGCCCGGCTGTCAGGGAAAATGTACCGAGCGACCATTTTGAGCGGCCATTTTGAAGAAAAAAGAAAGAAAAAAAAAGGCCTCCTCCTTCCTATTTTTCAAAAAGGCAGGACCCTAAACATGTTTTTTATATGAATCAAAGCTACACTGTACTAATCATTATGTTTTTTCCTTTTCTTTTATATCGTATTCCTGTAGAATTCGAATCATGTCTGACGCATTAAAGAATGTTATTGCTCAGAGTCTGGAGTGTCCTGTATGTCTGAATACCTTCATCGATCCGAAGATCCTGTCATGTTCTCACACCTACTGCAAGACCTGTCTGGACAGCCTTTTGGAATTTCATGGTAATGACCAGATGCTCCTATGCCCTGTCTGCAGAGCTGAAACCCAGGTCCCAAACCAAGATGTAAGCAAATTACCGGCAAATTTAGCTTTAAAGTCTCTCATAGAGGACGTGAAGAATCAATATCAATTTTGCTCAAATTGTAAATCCGAGGACAAGCCCCAAGCTGTTGTCTACTGTCAAGACTGTGGCAAATACCTCTGTGATACTTGCCACAACACACACTCTCAGTGGCAAGACTTCATCGGTCATGAGGTCTTAGCCATGGGTGAGATCGTATCAGGGAAGGTGTCAGTACGTAGATACCGTAAATGCAGGAAACACCCCAAAGAGGATGAGGAGTGCTTCTGTTCCGACTGCAGGAGATTCGCCTGCTTCAGGTGTGTTGTCATGGAGCATTCAAAGGAAGGACATGGGGTCATCGATGGAGCTGTTTTTGAAAGCAACCATATGAAGAGTATCGAGGACTTCAAATCTAAGGCGAGCAAGAAACGCTCTTGCTTTCAAAAATACGTAGATTTCATTGATGAACAGAAAGAGCGTGTGAGCAATGTTCGGAAGCAGTGTACAGATGATATCAACAAAGCATATGAAGAATCAATCCGGCAGTTGACAGAGAAGAAAGAAATCCTCATTGGTGAAGTCAAGGGTAGGACCGAAGGAGTAGAGAAAGAACTGGAAGAAATGAAGAAATCGGCTCAGGAGCACATCACTCACTTGACCACCATAGCTGACGTGGTAACCAATATGACAAAGATACCGTTAGATATGGATGCTTTGGCTGCACACGACACTCTATGTCAAGACTTACAAGAGGCTTTGAAACAAGAAGATCCTGACTACAGGCAGCCAATCCAATCGAGCAGGAAAGGAAAAAGTGTCAGTTTTCAGAGAAACGTTGGAAAAGACGAGCTAGGTCTCGGTAAGATTGCAAATGCAGTACTTGCAAAGAACATCGCTTTGCCTACTAAGGATAGCATGAGTGCCATGGTTGGTACACCAGACGGTAGGATGGCAGTGGGATGTAGCACAGGTGGCTTGGAGATCTTCTCTGCTGATGGTCAGCACCAGCAGACAGTTTTCAAGGATGTTAAGATTCATGGAGTAGGGTTCCTCTCTGATGATCGGTATGTTATACTTGATCCCTCAAACAATATCACACTGTACACATTCGAGTACACAAAGTTGAATGTAATGTTTGCGACTCTGAGTGCCGGTGTAGGTGGAATGGCTAAGCTCACTGTAGACAGTGATGACGAGATCTATGTTAGCTACAGGAAAGCCATGAAGATCCAGGTATTCTCACCAGCAGGTGGGAAGGCGATCAGGGAGATATGTGATGGGTATACACCTCTGCAGACTACTGGTTATAATGATCACCTGATCATCACATCCTGGGAAACAATACGATTGACTGACAAACAAGGTGTTGTTAAATATAAATTAACGAAACCGGGTTACCGTCCATACGCTGCTGTGTCTCAAGGTAATACAATCCTGATTGCGAAGGTAAAAGACCGCGTAGGTTTGGTCAGCATTGATGAGTACACTAACGAGCTGAAGCATATCAAGAACCTCGTCATTGATTACAAGCCTGAGAAGCCCGAAGAAAACTGGTACTATATCCAGCAGTACCGGTCAGGTGAGATCGCTTTCTGCACTCCTGATAGACTTTATATATTCCACTGAAAATAATGGATGCTCGTCCCTCCTTCACTTGCACTGTATGATATCACTGTCTTCAGGCCCGTAGGAAGACGGGAGAGGGGAGGGGTGAGATGTGTGCGACTATAGACCCCAATTTCTGGTCAAAACAGGCACGCTGAACAATTTAGAATAAGATAATATTTCGTTGAAAATAGACCCATCCTCTTATAGCCTTTTTTAAAAGCTTCTAACATGCCTGTTTTCTGTGACTTCGTAAAGTGTGTATAACATATAGTGGAATCAGTTGATTCTTCAAAGGGCCACTTTAACCAAAACGGGCTAAAAAATGACCAAAAAAAAAGACATATAGAATAATTTTTGACGGAGATTCCGAACATGACCATGATTTTTCTTAGAAATCATCAATAATTCTGGAATCTAGCTTTAAAAATGACGACTCAGAACGCTCAGCGAAAAAGAGCCCAGTTTCGGAGCTGTATTGCGCAATAGCATATGACGTCACTGCAGGAGCCTCTCCGGTGAAAAGGAGGGTGATTTAGGCATTTAAATGTCTTTAAAAAGGCAAAGTATGATATTAATTTTTTTAAAGACATTTATCCGAAAAATAATGTGCACTTGATAATCCCAGTACGTTTCTGGCAATTTTGTCATTCCTAACTATGAATTACAATGATATTGTAAGATCCTTAGTTGCAGGACAAATCGGACATTCCCGCAATGACGTTAAATGACATCAAGCCACGTGACCGTATTACCTTTTTTTTCGAGGGTCGTAGCCCAGGAAGCGTGATAGCTGTGAAAAATGGATGGGTATTATCATATTTTGGTCAATTTAGAGATTTTCTGAAAAATTAGAGGCTGGAATATTAATCAGTAGAGATGTATTCATGTTTTGAAAGGCTATGTTAGTTGGGTTGGAGTGGCCCTTTAACTAGGTGAAATCAAGTTTTGGTGACATGTAGATCAATTCGAATGACTATTTTACAGTCGAAGATAATAATCTTAGTAATGGACTTTCAATGTATTGCGGTTTAGTACAAATTAATGTTCTTTTCTTAATTTACTACAGAAAGCACAATGCACTTCAGTACTGTCCGATTAATCATACTAAATTCTATTTTTTTACCCAGAATCATGAGAGGAAATACCCCCTTTTCAAAATAACTTCTACTTCTTATAATTTATCGAGTTGTGTACTAAAGAGTTTCAGAGTTCTGAAAGTCGACAAATTGATCATCGTATGATATATGTTTATGTTTTATTTCTATGGACTATGATATCTTGTTTTCTGTTTTCCATGCTTACTTTCCGTCTGGTAAAGTACATGTGAGAACTTGTCATTTATTCACTTTTTGGAGTGTTGACTGTGTTTCCATTTCTAATAGTTTCTGTTCTTGATAGACATTAGCGTCAGTCGTACCTAAATTCATAAAAATAATAAAGTATTTAGAAAGTAATATCACTGAACTAATGAAAGCAGACAAATGAGAGATATTGGTCTCTATACGTTTAAGAAAAAATTGAAAATTTGTGATTCTAAAGCTACTCTCTGTTAGTTTTGTTTTAAAGATTTCATAAAACATCATCCAGCCATTTTCATTGTTATACCTATTGCCGAAATATGAAATTGTATACTTGTTCTTATAGGTCCTCCTGTGTGTAAATCAAGTACATTGTCGTCAAAACTATTTTTAAAGGAGGATATTTTGGGGACATTTCCAAAAGAAAAAAAGGATAGGTGATCGTAGTTAGGGTTGCCGATATATAAGGGGCTTAAAACTTTACAATTGCATTAATTTCTTTTTTAAAATTTGTTATTCCCCTCCCCCCGCCTCTTAAGCTTTCTTCATCAACGTGATGTCAGGTGGACTTCCCTTTTTATTATTTATTTATGTTAATTTGGAAAGATAAAAGCATTTTCGTGTGAATAGGTATCCACCGGGAATGCTGTTCATTTCCAAATATTCTTATATCCATAATTTTGTATAAGTTTTTGTTTCTTTCATATTACATGTAGGTATTTATTTGACCTTGTTTACCTTTCTGCTCGTGCTATTGCTATAATGATCATGACGTTATACATGTACATGCGTTGATTCTTAAGTTTAAGCACCAGAGGAACTTTGGGGATTTGAAATCGATATACACATATATAATTATGCCGCAAGCAATGCTGATTGTTGTAGTTTAACTTTTGGTTATTATTAAGCAGTGGACATCGGTTATCTGCACTTTTTTCCAACAATAAACTCCAGTTCCTCCCTTCCGTGACAAAGAGTGGCCCTGTATTGAGGATCTATTGATTATTTCAGCCCCATATGAGACCATGCCGATTCTGCAGTCACACCGCCAAACCGACTCCAAAACAGCCTCACAAACCTGTCCAAATCGACCATTTCTTTTCCATTCTGTGTATAAGTAAATGCTATTTCGTGTTCAGTCTCTGGTCGGTCTGGGCGTCGTTCCACAAGACCGTTATTCCTTGAAAGTTCACCGACATCTCCTTGAAACGCGTGTTAATCATAATACACGCACTTATCTGGATTTCAGCGAACCAGTGCTTATGACGGTTTCGTGAAACGCTTGACTGACACATACAGGCCCGAATTCACAAAGCAAGCTTTGAGCTCAGACCAAGGTTTGTCGTCAAAACTCCTTTTGTTTCGCCAAACCTCCTTTTGTTCTTTACAAACTAGGTTTGTAAAAAACGCGTCATATGACGTACATAAACCTCGGTTTGTCGACAAACCTCCTTTTTGAATTCGGGCCAATACGTCTGTGCACTGCAAGGAGTAGGAGGAGTCTGTGCATGTGGGGGTAATAACTTCGATCTTCCGTCACGGTTTGCTTTTTTATCAACAGCAACCGAAGTCCGAAGAAGTCTATTAAAGAAAGATATTTCCGAGGGTTTACTAACTCGGCTTCGGACCAAGATAATGATGAACCAAGATTACAAACTAAATAAACACAAAAAGTATATAAGACAATAACAACTTACAGTTTTTCTTACAACACATTAAGGCCATGTAAAAAAATAAACATGTTTAGCGTCCCCGCCCGCTTCCTTTTTGGGGGCCGCCTCCTATTTTTTTTTTTTAAAGATAAAAACATGAAAACACTGCTAAAATGGATCTATTTCTGATTAAAAAAAAATGTTTTAAAAATGTCGGCGGCATTCTTGAAAAATAGCCCGACTGTGGGGGAAAATGTACCGAGCGGCCATTTTGAGCAGCCATTTTGAAAAAAGAAAAAAAGGGCCTCCTCCTTCCTATTTTTCGAAAAAACAGGACGCTATAAACATTTTTTTTTAAAATTTGGCCTAATCTGTTATTTCATGGATTTTTAATATTATGTCATACACTGTGATATGTATTTCGGTGGAAGGAATGTTGCGATTTGTCATTTCACTGTAATCTGTTACAAATATATACATTTCACTTTTGATTATATCTTTTTGTTATGTCGGCCACCTTTAAGGGTTGCTTCCTTTATGGCTGCCACCTTACAAGCAACTTTGATATCTTGGTACCGGTTTATAAACATGTTTTCTATTATTTTCATTTTACAATATGTTATTCCATGTACACGTTTGTTTGTTATTCTTTGTCAATTGAATTAAATTGCAACAAAACTATAGTTATTGATACATTTTATATAGTACAAATATGTGTTGATGACATTTATTTACAAAACATATTATAAAGTTTGTGGTGTTTATACTTTAATTTTGCTTAGCAATTAAATTTCTAGTTTCTCATCGAATTCAGTCTGAATTTTACACCAATGTTTATGGCACATTTTAAAGAGCTGTTATGCAAGAGAGTCGCATTAAAGGGCTATCCAATTAAAAAAAATAGACCCCGATCTCGTATTTTGACAAATTGATGTCTTTACAAATTTGTTGTATTCAAAGAAATTCAAAAATTGTCCGGCGCTATGTCAAAGCGTAGAAAATAAAATATTGAAAGTTCATGACCTGTATAATTTCTTTTTAGGCTGTTTTATGTTTCGATTAAATTCTAACGAACTTCCTCATGCCATCACGTCGTCATTCCAAAAGAATCAACAACTTCATAATTATCCAACCCGACAGTCTTCCTTTTTTCACTTACACAAACTTAGAACTTTACTAAAACAAAAAACTTTGATTTATACTGGTCCTGTGTACTGGAACTCCTTAGACATTTCGCTCAAACAGCTACCAAGTTTAATTACTTTTAAATATTACTTGAAACATAAACTTCTACTCCAGTACGATAATGTTTAAGGTCATCATGATAGAGACCATCGGTATTATTAACACTTGTTGGCTGGCTGCACCACACACCCGTTTTTGTTCTTTTGTTTTGTTTTTTGTTTTATATATTATGTAACATATGTATTATGTAAAAGGAACCTTAATTACAAGCATAATGCTTCCAAGGTTTCCCTCCTCATTACTGCAGATAATTGTTAGCATTATTTGTATTTAATGACTTGCCATTACATCGTTTTTATTACTGTTGTATCAATCGAATATTATGTACATGTTTTGTTACTTTTTATATTCCTTACTTTGTAAATTCTTTTCATATGCAGTTAATGTGGAAATAAAACCTAAATAATTTTTTTTTTTTTAAGCCCATTTAAATTGTCCATACGTTACTTAACGTAATTACAACTTGAAACGAAATAATCATAACTTTCTTTTTGGGGTCAGATTTCATTTAATATCATAAGAACTATGAAATAATTTTTTCTTGTACAGCTGGTAAAACCAAAGAGAGGGATATAAAATATAATTACAACAGAATATACAGGAGAATTTGAGGAAGATAGATGATGTGTAGACTTAAAAAGATAGACTGAAGGAAATATATGCTTTTATAGAGGAAGAAAGGAAAGGAGGAATGGTCGAAATAGAAGCTGAACAAGACGAAGAAATTGAAAGAACAAGAGAGAACAAGAATGTGGGTCTTTTATGTAAGTGGGTGAGTGCGTGTGTGTGTGTGTGTTTATATTAGTTGTATTTGTTTTAAGCT